TTTAAATGTAATTTATTCCTGTGATGCAAAGCTGAATTTTCAGCATCATTCCTCCAATCTTCAGTGTCACATGATCCTTCAGAAATCATTCTGATATGCTGATTTGCTGCTCAAGAAACATTTCTCATCATTATCAACATTGAATACAATTGTGCTGCTTACTGTGTTTATGGATACAGGATTCTTTGATGAATTGAACATTCAAAAGAATAACATTAATTTAAAATAGATTTCTATTGTAACATTTACTGTCACTTTTAATCGATTTAATGAATTCTTGCACCGTATCCCCCATATAAATACATTTATATTTATAATTTATAAATATATAGAGTTCATAGATTATATATAGGTCCCTTTAACCGGACCTCGCTCCCCATAGATGCCTCTCATCTCCGACATGGCTTCTTTGCCAGCAGGGCTGCTGTAGTCCAGACAGAGTTCCTGGGAGCGCTGCAGATCCATGTAATCGCAGGCTGGCAGGACGTCTGACGAGCAGCTCTCACACAGCAGAGGTTCTTTCAGGTCGACGACCTGCACGTTTTCTCCAATGGCGTCTCCTGTCCTGCAGGAGCAGCATGTCGCCAAACCCGTGGCCACCAGCTGACTGCAGTCCTCGTTCTCTCCGACCTCCATGGGCTCCTTCATGGGAAGCGCACAGCTGCAGCAGCTGCCTGACAGAGGAGACACAGTCCCAACTCCGGAGTCCTCGCTGGAGCTGCCTGATGAGGTTTCGGCTCGGTCCTGGTCCTGTTCTTGGTCCGTGGAAGTCGATGTTTCATCAAGAATGGTTAATTGGGTGCTGGGACGTGTGATCAGGGGCTCTGGGGGGGTTAGTTCTTGGCAAATCAGAGGGAGGGTTTGTGGACCGTTGTCACCGTGGTATGAAGTCACAGTTTCCTAAAAGAAGGAAAGCCGGTCACAATAAGTACGATAACTATATCAATAACTATAAAGTTTTAGCCCTCATAATGCATTTGGGTCCATTCTGACCCAGAAGAGATACATAAATCTTTCTAAAAAAAAATGCACAGATAGATTTTAGTAATGAAACAAAACTTTACAAATTCTTTACAACCCTCAAAATACACATGATCGGGTCAGGTTATTGTATATATATATATGTCCATATATGTATGGAGTACCATTAGTTGTCAAATTATTTTTGTAAAATAATATATGAAGATATATTAGTGTCAAAAAACTTTTGTAAAAAATATTTAGCCTTTTTCCCATATCTGACACACTTTCGGCACTGAATTTTCTTGATAAACATAAATATGTACAGTATTGATGAAGCATTTCAGCATGAAAAATGTATCAACTTTAATCTTTAATAATTTTTTTCATCTAAAAGTGAACGTTTATACAAATAAAAAGTAGTTATTTTGTTTGAAAACTTTTATATATTTTTTTTGTTTTTGACATTTTGTTAGAAATAAATATGTTGGTTTCATAAATTTGGACTGGTTTTGAGCAATTATGAGTTATAAATTCAAAGGAATTTAATTCAATTCCATTCTTTCCAATGTGGTTCAAACTGGTATTTCTCCGATTATATACTCCGATAAATTTCATACAATGATAAATTCAAATAAAATATCTCATCAATATTGAAAAATTATATATACTTTGCATCAGTTTTTTTCTAAAATAATTTCTCAATTTTTTTATTTAAAAAAAGGGGGGTAAATACAGTAAAAACAATGTAATAGCATGATAACATTCGAAACTTAATTTATTTTAAAATTCACTCATTAATGAAAAGTTGCTGATCAGATACAGTATGGTTTGTTTTACTTGAAAAAATATTAATTCAAGATTGTTTAATAAAATAACAAATTTATAAAATAACTATTTTATAAAACATCAATTTAAAATAATGATAAAATAATAAAATAAAAATACTATACAGCTTTTGAATGTATTATGAGGGTTAATAATCATTATAATAGTGTGATAATAGGGCAGTCCACACCACAACTATAACAAAAACAAAACAGAGGAATGATATTGTTGGAATCACTTTCAGAATAATTTTTTTCCAGCTGATAAATGATGAAAATTCTCTTTTAAAAAGCTTTTAAAATGACAGACAATGTTACTTCTGTGAGTGCTTAAAATACACAGAACATTATAGTCCATTGTTGTGGATGCTAATATAGTTATTGTTGTTGGTGTGCACCTGCTTTAAGTCTCCGTCACTAGGTTTTGGAACAAGGCTACAGTTTTCAGATTTTCTTACTTACCTGTTGATTCCTACTTCCTTTCAGGTTTTGGACGCAAGTGCGTAGATTTACTGTGGTGTCAGAAAATAAGCTTTAATCAACAACATAGACAAGAATCTACCACAAAATGTAGCAAATATACATAACCCTGAACTAAATTTACCTGAGAGGAAGTTCAGCTTATCCTTGCAGCAAAACAAAAAGAGAACAACCAGGGACACCACAATGATGACCGAGAGGATGGCCACCAGCACCCAGGGTGTCATACCTGAGGAGGATGAGGAGGTTTATTCGTCACACCGCTTTGTGAAGCTTCTCAGTTATTCAGATCATCATAGAGGGTCTAGTAAATTGTTTTCTGTGTTGCTGTTAAATCACATTTATTGCTCTTGCATGAGTGGCAAAATTTCTTGAGCAACAAAGAAACACATGCAAACTATTCCTACCAAAAGTTACAATTCAATTCAATTCAATTCAAATGTATTTGTATAGTGCTTTTCACAATACACATTGTTTCAAAGCAGCTTTACAGAAAATGCATGTGTCTACATTACAAAGCAGAAGTGAATGTGTTCAAGTAATGTTCATTTCACAAATGAACGGTTTAAGATAATAGAATCATACAGCTAGCTAACACGAATTAATTTTAGGCAGAAGCCCATTAAAGCGATTGTTACATATGTGATCATAATGATTACAATATAGAGAAAATTTGGCAGCTGTGCATGTCGATTCAAGTAGGCAGATTACAGACAATTACAATTACAGACACCAGATATTACATTAAATATGGGTTCCCACTCATTTTGAGTAATTTTTTTACAGTCAAAAATAAAATATTTTACAGTCATTTGAGACTACTGGATTTTAAGGAATTTTAAATATATACATTTAAATTTTTTAAATATATATTATACATGCATATCTGACTTTTGAATACTGTAAATGAATATTGTGAATGTGTGTGTGCGTGTGAATTTATATATGATTGTGAATACTGTAAATGAATTTTTATATATATATCAGTATTCAAATTCATATATGTAAATATCAGTAAGAATCCTTTTTTAAAAGTGAGTGTATAGATTCTATAATACTATGGAAGATTTCTATTTTAAATAAATGCTCTTCATGTATCCAAGAAAAAATATTATAAAAGTTTCCACCAAAATATTAAACAGCACATCTGTTTTCAACTTTAATAATAGTAATAAGAATTGTTTCATGAATATTTTTTTATTCTGTATATATTTACTATAGAACTTCTATGACATGACCAGATTTAAAATTCTCTGATATTCTTCTGATATTTTGATAATTTCAATCACTGTATTAAGCTTCAATAGTTTTTTTTGAGGCCGAACATAAACATTTGAAATAACCTACCAGGAGAATGGACTCCACACACCACATCGGTCTTAGAGCTTCCTGACTGTTTCTCGGTCTTGCCGATAGCTTTACAACTGGAACAGAATTAGATATATCAATACAGTGAATATGCTTTGGAAATATTGTAAGCTTTACAACTGGAATAGAATTAGGTATATCAAAAGAGGGCAGCCAAACAGTCTGGTCACTTCTGATCTGATCAGTCCCAATTTTCTCTTCTACGAGGAACCACAAATACAAAGAGCAAAAAGAAAAGGGGCTCTTTCTAGGGGAAGTGGTGGTGAAATTAATCATAATACCACAGTGCGGTAAGACTGCGGGGGCTTTAAAAAATGACCAAGCATGCCTGAGACCTTCCCCAGACAAACAACGCCTGTGAGATTGAGAGCTGTGACTTTACAAATGAGTCCTGTTAAAGAACAGTTGTGTGTGTGTGACTCAGAGGACAGGCATGTTTGTGGCACACACTCCCAGCTGTTGTTAAACCTATGGAGTTGTTATTGTATTGACTTTTTAAGCTTAGATTAGAGGCATACTCACTCTGTCCATTTCTTGCAGGCTTCTATTGATATGGAATCTGAGAAATATCCATATTGACAAGGCACACAGGAAGCTCTGCCCGTCTCTACAACGAAGAAAGCGATAAAGAATTATAGACAGAGAGACAGATTTCAATAGACAATTGAGCACATTCAAAAGCTTATTTTATTTATCTTAAGTCTAACTTTATTGCATTAATTTTCCTTCTCATTTGTATTTCTGTTTACTATCCATCCAACCATCGTTCTATACATCTATCATCCATCCACCTATCATCCATCGTTCCATTTACTATTCTATCTACCGATCCATTATTCTATCCATCTATCGCTTCGTCTGTCTATCCAGCGTTCTATTGTTCTATCCATCTATCTACCCATCCATCTGACCATCATCCATCTACCATTCTTTCTATCCACTTATCCATCTTTCTATCTACCATTCTATTCTTCTATCATCAATCTATCCACCTATCCATAATTCTACCTATCTATTGTTATATCTGCCTGCCTACTGTTCTATCGTTTAATTGGTTTATACATCGGTCTATCCATGCATCATTCTGTCTATCCATCTATCAATCATCCATCCATCCATCTATTGTTCTATCTATCCACCTATTATTCATCTATCCATCCATCATCTATCTACCTATTAACTGTTCTATCTATCCACCTATCAATCATACTATCCATCTATTGTTCTGTCTGTCTATCTACCATTCTATGGTTCCATCTGTCCATCCATCCATCAGTCTGGCCATTCTACCGGTTTGTCTGTCTGTCTGTCTGTCTGTCTATCTATAATTCTATCTGTCCAGATAGATAGATAGAATAGAAGGAACGACAGATAGACAGAGCATATAAATAGAGATAGTCTACAGAAAGCCTTGTGATGTCTTTTAATTTTAATTACAGTGTAAATGTCAAGATGCTAAAGATAAAATGTAAACTACAGTGTGTCCAGATCCATTTCTGCAAACTGTATTATAGTGTTCCTTTCCATTTGGCACTAAACCTTGTGCTCAAAACCACAGAGCTGAAAAAGCCACTGATTTACTGCACTCTCAATTAAGGGTACACTTCATCTATCTATAAGACATATGATTAATGGCTCCCACTTTAAACTTCTGAATAAGCTTATAAAAGGTATAGTTCACCCTATAATGAAAATCCTATCATTCTATGCTCTCCTTCATGTCATGAACTATTTCTTTATCAATGTAGAGTCACCACAAGCTCTTACCGCCCATTACGACTCCTTCTCCTGCAGGACATTTTTTAATGGCCTCACAGTATTCGCAGTTGATCAGAGAGCAGTGGAAACCCTGCTTGCACTGACAAGGTTCAGCCGCTGTAGGGTTGTGTAAACGAGTGCGGTTAAATCCTTTACCTGCAGAGAATGATTGGTGCGTGGTGTCAAAATATAATGCAAAATTAAACAACATTCTTTCTTTACACACATTATGTGACACTGACCCTCATCGCAGAACTTCTGAGCAATACATTTAGTGTCACTGTTCCAGTCCGGCTGGTATTCTTCATGGCCACAATCACGGCACTTTGTGCTCAAGCTGCCGTCGCAATGGGCGAAAATGTATTTTCCTGCATTCAAAGGAAAATCATGCAATAAGTTGCCCATCTGAAGATGCAAATGTGTTAGCTCTTTAAAGGGGTCATATGATGCAATTTAATTTTTTCCTTTCTCTTTGGAGTGTTACAAGCTCTTGGTGCATAAAGAAGATCTGTAAAGTTGCAAAGACTAAAGTCTCAAATCCAAAGAGATATTCTTTATAAAAGTAGCATATGAGAATGATTTCTGAAGGATCGTGTGACACTGAAGACTGGAGTAAAGGCAGCTGTAAATTCAGCTTTGCCATCAGAAAAAAAACTTATTTTAAATTGTAATAATTTGACATTATAACTGTTTTACTGTGTTTTTGATCAAACAAACACAGCCTTGGTGAGCATAAGAGACTTCTTTCACAAATATTAAAACATCTTTTCAATTCCAAACTTTTGAATGGTAGCTCATATTCTTTTTCTCAACATAAAACTAACAACAAGCCTTACCTTTCTGAGCCATGTTTATAATGACTTTTAACCAAGGGGTCCCAAGTTTGATCAGTATCAATTTAATTTTGAATAGTACATTTCTTATTTTACTATTGTGAAAACATTCTTTCTTTAAAAAATTTTGTTATTTTTCTTAAACTGCATGCCAATTGGTTATTCAGTAATCTGATGCAATGGCATTCAGGCATTTTTAAGTGTGGCTTAAGCGTTCAGATATTTTTTGGGGTCACTGTATCTCCAATCCGTTGGGTGATTTATATAGTAACAGAAAAACTACACAAAGTTTGGCCTGTTTGAACATTCGCTCTGGTCGGGGAATGAGAATCTTCAAGGAATAAGGATCATTTGAGTGGTAAAAGCATCAGGGAATGAAAGAGTGGGGGAGTGTGTGTGTATGGTGAGGGGGTATTGCCCAACTCAGAGGAAGAAAAAAGCAAGAAGAAAAGCAAAGAACACCACCCACATCCCTCCAGATACCACAAAAGCATTCCACGGTTTAACAGCAGGGCAGAATTAAATGCAATCCTTTAATTCAGTGCAAATCTGAGAAAATCTAGCTGTCACTCATGTAAAAGACAATAAAAAAAGAAAATAGTGCCAAGCTCAGCATACTGGGCTCTCGTGGAGGTGAAAAGGACTTGGCTGAAGTACCAGGTGCTTCTTTGTAGACTGTTAAAATAGGTAGAAATAATGCTCAAATTCAACTTTTTGCACGGTCCAGTGAAAAATAAATTGCTTTCAAGCCTTAGTTTTCTGTATTCTAGCCAACACATATTTTCAAATGATAGAAATGGAAGAGAAATATTGTTTGTATAGGGACTACAGAAGAAGATTTATGAAATACAAAAGCTCTCTTTATCTCTCTAAAGCAAAAAAAAAAAAAAAGCGGAAGCGGAAGCAAACATTTTCCTATTCAGGTTTCCTGGGATTGATCATGGATCAATGGATTTATCCATCATGCCAGTTGGAAAAATCCATGGGTATCATGGAAATTCATGAGGAAATAAGATTTCCTTATCAGATTTGTTGATGACAACAAGTTTCGTCTAAACAAGGGACTAGTTCACTTCACTAAAACCAATTTATTCAAATGATGAAACAAGTTGTGTCCTATATTCCTTGATGTACATGAAACTCAGTATAAAATATATATAAATTTACTCCTACTGCAGTGTGTCTAAATGTCTTTTTTTTTTTACTAAAATCACCTTTAAATTTAAAGCAATAAATTACAATAAACATACTCCTCTTTGTTTCTATTAAGATTGTATACATAGTTAAAGATTACATTTTGAAGGTTTTTCTACCACTGCTGAAGGACCTAAAGACCTTTTGATGAACGCATGTGAAAAAACACAGGAAACCCAAAAGGAATGTCCAGAGTTAATTTCTGATCCTCTACATTTGAATGTAAGGCTATACTCGGGCAACAAAACATATTTTCATTGACTAAATATATAAGATCATGGTCAGTGACGCCCTGAAAAATTATATGTTAGAAAATATGCACCGGACACAGAGAAATCAGTTCTCACAGGATATAGCAGAAGCACTCAGATAACTCACAGTTCTAATGACTCAGTTCAGTCAAGTCATGTGCATTGCTTTGCATTTGTTCTATTTTGAATGCAAAAAGACAGCAATGTTGTGTTACTGTATTCTACAAGTGAATATATAAATAAAAGTCATTTATAAATAATTTAGCTTATAAATAGTTCAACAAAACACAACCTGGCAACTACATATTCAGACCTGCATGTGATGCAAAAGAAAACATGCTTAAACTTTTGACCTGATGCAACATTAGATAACTCAGAAAACAACTGAATGAATGAAAATATGAATGAAAATGGGCTGACAAAAAAAAAAAAAGATCTGTAAAATTAGCTAATTTCACAAACCACAATATAACAGATGTTGTCAAATTCCAATATTAGGTTTTTTTCCCCGAAATGTTTGCATGGAACAAAAGTTTTTGAGAGTTTTGGAGTTTTAAGCTGGAGTTTTACTCTATTCCTAGGAATGTAATGATAATTTACATTTAATGAGTATCAAGTGTACATTTGGCGGAAAGATCCAATGATTTCTTATAAAAAAAATTAAAAAAAACACTGCACACTTGAGGTTAAAACCATCATGAACAAAGCACAATGCCAGAAACATACACATCCACATGGAGTTCCCCTCAAAAGTTTAGTCTAAACAAGGGACTAGTTCACTTCACTAAAACCAATTTATTCAAATGATGAAACAAGTTGTGTCCTATATTCCTTGATGTACATGAAACTCAGTATAAAATATATATAAATTTACTCCTACTGCAGTGTGTCTAAATGTCTTTTTTTTTTTACTAAAATCACCTTTAAATTTAAAGCAATAAATTACAATAAACATTCAATAAATTGAATACTTGAAAATATTCTCCTCTTTGTTTCTATTAAGATTGTATACATAGTTAAAGATTACATTTTGAAGGTTTTTCTACCACTGCTGAAGGACCTAAAGACCTTTTGATGAACGCATGTGAAAAAACACAGGAAACCCAAAAGGAATGTCCAGAGTTAATTTCTGATCCTCTACATTTGAATGTAAGGCTATACTCGGGCAACAAAACATATTTTCATTGACTAAATATATAAGATCATGGTCAGTGACGCCCTGAAAAATTATATGTTAGAAAATATGCACCGGACACAGAGAAATCAGTTCTCACAGGATATAGCAGAAGCACTCAGATAACTCACAGTTCTAATGACTCAGTTCAGTCAAGTCATGTGCATTGCTTTGCATTTGTTCTATTTTGAATGCAAAAAGACAGCAATGTTGTGTTACTGTATTCTACAAGTGAATATATAAATAAAAGTCATTTATAAATAATTTAGCTTATAAATAGTTCAACAAAACACAACCTGGCAACTACATATTCAGACCTGCATGTGATGCAAAAGAAAACATGCTTAAACTTTTGACCTGATGCAACATTAGATAACTCAGAAAACAACTGAATGAATGAAAATATGAATGAAAATGGGCTGACAAAAAAAAAAAAAGAAAAAGAAAAGATCTGTAAAATTAGCTAATTTCACAAACCACAATATAACAGATGTTGTCAAATTCCAATATTAGGTTTTTTTCCCCGAAATGTTTGCATGGAACAAAAGTTTTTGAGAGTTTTGGAGTTTTAAGCTGGAGTTTTACTCTATTCCTAGGAATGTAATGATAATTTACATTTAATGAGTATCAAGTGTACATTTGGCGGAAAGATCCAATGATTTCTTATAAAAAAAATTAAAAAAAACACTGCACACTTGAGGTTAAAACCATCATGAACAAAGCACAATGCCAGAAACATACACATCCACATGGAGTTCCCCTCAAAGTGTGCAACAATTCAGATTCCAGGGAAAAATTCAGAAAAATCTGACAGGGAAGGACAGAGTGGGGATGTGTCTCAAAAACCTAGTGAGCGGTCAGCCTAGAAAGCACTTTTGTCTAGGTATGTCTTCTCAATTTTGAACAACAGACTAAATTAGTTACAGGATGTCCAGCTATTTCCGCGAAGCGGTTCTTTTGAACAGTTGAGACAGGTAAATTGTCGACACGAGAACCAGTTTTTGAGATTCATTGCAAAGGTCCGACTCAAAAGAACGAGTCATTCACGAATCGTAACAACAGCACTAAATGTAGCTACACAACCCGTTTCCGCAACAAAGCGCTGAAATAAATAGAAGGGAATAAGGTAGTTTAGCACTGAGGTGATAAAGAAGTTTCCAGTAAACAGAGTGCAAAAAATATATAGCTAAAGTTTATATTAATCCCATACAATTCAAAAACAAAGTTTGATTTATAAGAATCATTTGCAAACACTTAAGCAAACCTACCTGCGTGCACAGAGCAAGAACGAAGTGTGTGATCCATCCTTGAAATATCCAACTAGCAGAAAAATTCACTCTCATTATTCTAAACTTTAAAACAAGACTCTGTAATCTCAGCTTCAGTGCTGTTATATTGTCCAGTGAGGTTCAGCAGCAGACGCAGCTGTGCGCTCTGGGATGAAGGGATGAAGCTCCAGACTGCTGTAGTTCATTCGCTGAGAATATGTCACATGATGTTCACTCACCCACGCCTCGACTGCTGCTCTCCCTGTGTTTCCACTGCACTACAGTCATGTGGAATCTGCTCAGTTTTTTCACACGCTCCTCCCATTTCTCGTAATCAAAGTAGTCTACATGTAAACGGGGAGACGTTCATATAACCAGACAATCACTGTCAGTCACTAGCGTTCAACTCTGTAGCAGTTTATTTTACCGCGCCACGTCAAGCACATATATCGCGTTAGTTTGCGCTTATAGCCAAAGTGCAGTGAAGATACATTGTACTTTTAAGTTGTGAGGTACCGTTAAAACCAACTGTGAACCATAAATCAAAAGTGAAGTCTATTTGCTAGTGTACTAATTTACATTTAATGAGTATCAAGTGTACATTTGGCGGAAAGATCCAATGATTTCTTATAAAAAAAATTAAAAAAAACACTGCACACTTGAGGTTAAAACCATCATGAACAAAGCACAATGCCAGAAACATACACATCCACATGGAGTTCCCCTCAACGTGTGCAACAATTCAGATTCCATGGAAAAGTTCAGAAAAATCTGACAGGGAAGGACAGAGTGGGGATGTGTCTCAAAAACCCAGTGAGCGTTCAGCCTAGAAAGCACTTTTGTCTAGGTATGTCTTCTCAATTTTGAACAACAGACTAAATTAGTTACAGGATGTCCAGCTATTTCCGCGAAGCGGTTCTTTTGAACAGTTGAGACAGGTAAATTGTCGACACGAGAACCAGTTTTTGAGATTCATTGCAAAGGTCCGACTCAAAAGAACGAGTCATTCACGAATCGTAACAACAGCACTAAATGTAGCTACACAACCCGTTTCCGCAACAAAGCGCTGAAATAAATAGAAGGGAATAAGGTAGTTTAGCACTGAGGTGATAAAGAAGTTTCCAGTAAACAGAGTGCAAAAAATATATAGCTAAAGTTTATATTAATCCCATACAATTCAAAAACAAAGTTTGATTTATAAGAATCATTTGCAAACACTTAAGCAAACCTACCTGCGTGCACAGAGCAAGAACGAAGTGTGTGATCCATCCTTGAAATATCCAACTAGCAGAAAAATTCACTCTCATTATTCTAAACTTTAAAACAAGACTCTGTAATCTCAGCTTCAGTGCTGTTATATTGTCCAGTGAGGTTCAGCAGCAGACGCAGCTGTGCGCTCTGGGATGAAGGGATGAAGCTCCAGACTGCTGTAGTTCATTCGCTGAGAATATGTCACATGATGTTCACTCACCCACGCCTCGACTGCTGCTCTCCCTGTGTTTCCACTGCACTACAGTCATGTGGAATCTGCTCAGTTTTTTCACACGCTCCTCCCATTTCTCGTAATCAAAGTAGTCTACATGTAAACGGGGAGACGTTCATATAACCAGACAATCACTGTCAGTCACTAGCGTTCAACTCTGTAGCAGTTTATTTTACCGCGCCACGTCAAGCACATATATCGCGTTAGTTTGCGCTTATAGCCAAAGTGCAGTGAAGATACATTGTACTTTTAAGTTGTGAGGTACCGTTAAAACCAACTGTGAACCATAAATCAAAAGTGAAGTCTATTTGCTAGTGTACATGCAACAGAGCATAATGCAATGCACTTGATTTGCCCCTCAACTTTCTGTGTGGATGAACCTAAATAACATCTCTCTTGTCTTGACTCATAATTTGATTGGACTGCCAAATTAAAACTTTTATGGAAAATAGGATTAAGAATAAACAAAAACTGTAGTATACTACTGTTTAAAATGTTTATCATTTTCTTTATAAAAAAAAAGGGGGGAAAAAGAGCAAGCATAGAATTTGAACATAGCCTCAATTATGGAAGCTTGTTTCCACCATAAGATAAAAAAAAAAACAGTAATTGCGCCTTTTGAAATATATAAATTCTGAGAAGAAAAGTCAGAATTAAACTCGCAACTGTAAGTAAAAAAGTGAGAGGTCGCAGCTAGGTAGCCTACCTTTTTTATTTTTTTATTTATTCAATGGCGGAAAAAAAAGAATTGCCAGATGTAAACTGAAAGATGACTCATCCTGCACTACACAGATTTTCGTCCAATCAAATGCTATGTTGTTAATGGTTGCTATGCAACCTGCTATCCTGGCACAACTCAAATGATATTTATTATCGTAATCATAAATACACTGGTATGTAATGCAAATACAGTAGTTTACTGTTTCCTGTGTTTACTATGACAAACTCCATATTTTGTGCATTAAATATTTTGCAGGTCTATACATAATATCGCCTCCTTTTTCCATTAGTTTCAGCAGGTAAAACTTAATTTCTCCAGTGAAATGCACATTAACCTCAACTGATAAGGAAACTGTACTCTTTTTCAAATTGGTTTTCTGGTCCTGGACCTTACACAGTTTTCAGAAGAATAACATTAAATGAAAAATAATGTTTCTTAATCAGATTAAAGTAATGGTCCACTAGTCTGTGGCCTCTCTGAACAGAAGGTCATTCTATGTAATGTTAAACTGTGAGTTGTTTGCCTGTAATTCTTATCTTGCTTAACTGTCAGCTCATAATTGCTCACTTGGCATCTGTCTAAGTGGGCGAATGGGGCAGATAGCGATGCTCTCGAGATGTAGGTGGGGGTGTTTGAAACATTGCCAGAACTTTTCACTAATTTACCATCCTCTTGCTTTCAAGCACAAAGCTGCCATGCTTTTCCTTTAAGCCACCGCTGCCTGCTTTGAATAACAGTCATCGGTAAAAGCTGAAGGGCAAGTTTTGGCATCCATGCGCTCTCCTTCATGCAGCTACCGCACCACCCCACATGCAGATCAGGTGTACATAGTGTCCTCAATTCCTGGAGGCTTTTCTAAGCTGTTATGTCAGGCAGATGTAGAGATGTCACAACAGACTGATTGTTCAAGCATGAAAAAAACAACAACACGGAACCAACCCAACCTAATGTGAATATGTTATGCTTTCATGATTAAAATGAATTGTGATATGTTTTGGGGAGGGGGGTCGGGCATGTGTAGTGCAGCCACTCATGACTGTGTGAAGGTCAATAAGTCACATAAAATATCAGATAATTCAGTCTTTTTAATTGTCAAAATGCAAATTATGAAATAAAAAAATAATTTATTGCATAAAAAGTCAAAATTATGACATACTAAATAATAATAGAGATTAATTAAATAATGAACTAACTAAGATTAATTAAATAATTGAGATAAAAAGTCAAAATATGACATACTAGGCCATAATCATGAAACTAAAAAGTTGAAATTATGACATAAAATTATCAAAAGTATGTGACATAAAAAATGATGAAAAATTATTTAGCTAAAACTGAGTAAAGATAAGACATATTAAGCCAGAATCATGAGATAAAATGTAAAAATTACGAGATTATTACAATAATTACATAGTTAATTATGACAAGTATAATTATGACATTTTATCTGACAATTTCAAATTCAAAATAACTTATTCTCTCAATTTCATCTGTCATAATTCTGACTATTAATGTCATAATTATGACTTTTCATAATTTCACCTTTTTGTCAAATGTAAACTTTTTGTCACTTTTCATCTCATGATTATGGCTTAGTATGCATATTTAGACTCAGTTTTGGGTTTTATATAATGATGATTATGGCTATGGCATTTTGACTTTTTATCTCAAATATGATTTAGTATCGCCTAGTTTTGACTTATAATTATGAGTATTGTGTCATAATTTGGACTTTTTTCATTTTTCCTCTCACCCGTAAAATGTTTTTGCTAACTTGCAAGCTTTAGGAGAGAGGAACCCAGGCTTTTTAGTTCCTGTTTGGTGTCTTGTTATGCCTTCAGTCAACAACGCAACAGGAATAAAAACACGGAGAGGCAGAATGTTCCCGTGGTTTTATGCAGCCGCTCTCTCCGGGTCTGGAAATGTTCCTGGCATCTGACTCACAGTCCTCTTCAACTTATCCCAGCTGATGAAATTTCCACATACTACCATAGTGGATCAGCTCCAAATCATGCGCAGGTCACCTCGTGCTAAAGAAAATATTTTATGCAAATATGAGCTCTCTTGTTTTTTTAAACCAGGAATTGCATGAAATAAGAAATGTTACACTAGCGATGAAGGTAAACACAAAAGTTAAAAGATTAAAACTAATATGCAAATTTCGTTCTAGTTCAGTCAACAAATAATCCAAAACGAAGGCTTCTGTAGGATCGTGCCTGGATTTCTTCGCGCCAACTGCTGACCATGTGATCAAAGGGCTCTTGAACTTTGAAACTTTTTCTCCAAATGCAGAGGTAAAACAAGCCACATCTTTGATGTTCTCATGTTTTTTCGTTGGTTTTCAAGGCCAAGCGTTTATTGTAGTAACACCTGTCGAAGTGTAAAATATGCAGCACAATTCAGTTGCATTAAAGACCGTATATAGATAGTATATAAACTGATATGAACCTCGGAGCCAGATAGCATGAGGAACAAACAATGAGCTACTGATTTGCTGTATCAGAAGTCCTTAAATGCAGATTTATTATGACTAAACCAGATGTCTAAGGAAGCAAAAAAACATCTGAAAGGCAATCTTAGAGAGTTCAAGAGACGACACACCGAATCAGAAGTACATAAGTACACAAGTGGTCTTCGCTTTTTATTATCTTATGACACAAATCAAATATACATGATATTGGGTACTGTTCTCTCGATTCACTGTATTTTACAGTTATTTACTGTTGGAGCATATCCAAAATAAGAGAAACAAAACCCCGGACAATTTTACACACTTATGTAGAAAATATTCTCCAGAGACACAGCAACACATAAAAGACAGCAAGACGAGGAAGGAATCATTGTTTTGATTTCATGAAGTTCACATTGTCCAAAAAACAAACAAAAACAGGTGAAGTGATGCAAATAAGCCTCTGAAATAAAATCATAATAAAAAAAAGGAAAACATTGATACATGAGTGCAAATTTCTTTGGAAGCTGGAAAAAAATGTAAGACATAAATATGTTAAAAATATAGCCTATCAAATCAAAGACAAACAAAAGAAAGGCAGATGATTGACTTCAAGTAGGAGATCCCAGAAAGTGGAGGGCCGTGGGAAACACCCCAAGCAGCTTTCATTTCTTCCTCTGGAAAACATTCGCCAGCATGGCACCTGAGGTGGTCAGCTGGCCCATCTTACTTAGAAACTTGGTCTTTGCATCCTCACCCACCAGACTCGCTGCAATAGAGATGGACCTGAAAAGAGACAGAACAGCATTCATAGGTCAGAACATCCACCCGCCACTCAAGGGTCGTGTAAGCACCGGCTGCTGAGAGGGCCGGACAGGCAAAAGATGATACTGGCCACCCAGCGCTTGAGTGTTACGTGCAGTTTTATGATAGAGTTTATAAGTTAATTTTCATTCTGGAAATCAGTTCAAACTGTTTGTTTCAATTAACTGATTCTATTTCAATGAATCGCTTTTATTTCCACTCTCTGTGTGGCATTTGTCATACAGTAAAATATTTCAGTAAAAATAAAAGATTGATCACTATGCATTGTCATATTTATTAAAAATGATTTCATAATTATTATGTATTAATATTATAAAAATAATATTTTTTTACATTCTAAAACTTAAAATTATAATGCTTTCTTGTATTTAGCGTAAAAAATAAACACATTACTTGATTATTTTTTAAACTATATATATATATATTATGAAATGAAATTTTGTGAAATATTATTACAATTTAACAAATATATTTAATGCAATTTATTCCTGTGATGGCAAAGCTGAATTTTCTTATTATTATCAAAGTTGAATGCAATTGTGCTGCTTAATATATATTTATTTATTTTTTGTATATATCCATTGTCACTTTATAGTTTCACTTTTTTTGGCAGATCGGTCGTGAATAAAACTTTATAAGGTCACACGAAAAGAGAGATAACACATAGTTATGTGATGAATAGGATCATTTTTGAGTGAAGATTTCACCACCATTTCTTTTGAATGGTTAAAAACACCAGAAATTCAATAAATCACTTTGACCCGGTTTCACAGACGGGGCTTAGCTTAAGCCAGGACTAGGCCATAGTTCAATTAGGATTTTAAAGTAATTTTTTCTAAACATGCCTTAGAAAAAACATTACTGGTGTGCATCTTGAGACAAAACAAGGGCACTGACATATTTCAAGATCAGTCAGTGCAAGTTTCTTTCAGTTGAAACAGCTCAGATTTACATTTTAGTCGGGGACTATACACTGTAAAAAATGACTGTGAATTTAACGGTAAAAGACTGTAAAAATGCTACAGTAAAAACCTGTTAAATGGTTAATGGCGGAATTTTTTTTACAGTGTAGGCTTAAGTCTTGTCTGTGAAACCGGGGGGGTTATCTTTTGTATCTTTTTTTAAGTCTTGCTCTCACAAACTGGTTCCCGCAAAACATTCATGCTTAAAATGTCACCCGCCCAACTAATTAAACATAAAAAAAGATCCCAGATAACCCGTGGCAGAACAACCCACACCATTTGTGAGAGGCAGACTCGACTGATGTATCATGACTTGTAGTGACAGTCACAATGATAGACTTCACTGCAGTTATAAAGTTCAAACATTTATAAATATCTCACAGAGGCATGAAACAAAACCACTGGAAGCGTTGCTATGATACCAACTGTGAAATTTAAAAGACAAGTGCTGTTTATAATCAAGCCACGTCGTACAGATTAAAGATTTTAAAGAGTGCCACACGTGTTCGCAAGCTGGGTACGTTTCGTTTTGGAAACCCTCAGTTAGAGAGAGTCCTTAGCAAGCGAAAATCTGACTGTACATACCCTCTCACTTCTTCACTAAGTCATTCAACTCTTGAAAATTGCAAACTTCAGCAAATAAAAATCCATTTAGTGCATATTATACTACCTTTTATATAAGAAAAAACACTCTGCACCAAATTTGGAGTGGAACTATTACATACATGTGACCCTGGACCACAAAACCAGTCTTAAGTCGCTTGGGTATATTTTTAGCAATTGCCAAAAATACATTGTATGAGTCAAAATTATAGATTTTTCTTTTATGTCAAAAATCATTAGGATATTAATTAAAGATCATGTTCCATGAAGATATTTTGTAAATTTCCTACTGTAAATATATTAAAACTGAATTTTTGATTAGTAA